TATTTAATCTAGTCACCCACAAACGTAGCATTGCAATCAAACAGCGGAGCTCAGCTTTTGAGATTTATGTCTTGCACATTCACGCAGAGCCCCACGCAGTCTTTCTATTTCAATCGCTTAAGGAGGTTGCTGTTGTTGTTTTAAAAAATTGCGCTCTGTACCTTTTAAAGGAAAACACGCATATGTACATAATGAGGTGGATGTTTTCCCCTTTAAAAACATTAATCTCTTATTTATGGAGAACCACAGACATTTACTGAATGAGTACGTTTTAGCCAAATATAAGGGGATTGTTTTTGTTGTTATTATTAAAAAGGCGAGATTGATGTACAGTATTGAGCCATAGTAACACACACACACGCAGAAAAGACACGTGCACTCAAGGCAGAGGTAAGGGCGCCTTGCGCTGCGCGCCTAGGCACAGCCCCCCTCCTCCCGCCCGCCGGCCTTTCGGAACTGGAAGCTCTACCCTTTGCGGATTATTTCCCCCCCCCCAATGCCGATTGACCGCTGCCTTGCTTAATGTGGAGGCAGGGAACTCCGGGGCGGGAGAGTCTTCTGTCAACAGGCAGGGAAATGAGATGCTAAAAAGACTCCGGTGTAGTTCCTTGGGCATCGAGGAGCTTCCTGAAGCGGGCTGGCCTTGGGGCGGGGGGAGACAAGGAAAGAAGACTGGCAGCAGCAAAGAGCTCTGGGGCTGTCAATGTTTCCAAAGCAAACCTTCTCTCTGTTAATAACGCGCATGACCCTCAGGAAGGGCAGTGCATGCCTTTCCTCCCAGGCTGGTCCATTGCGTAGGATAGGTCACCAGGGAGATGTCTCTCTCCCCCCACACCTTGGGAGGGGTGTCTCTAAGCCTTGGTTATATAAAGTTTCCCCCTTGGTGCTTTCTTTGCCGGCGCCCCTCCCGTCAGCAGATTCCAACTGTCCTAGCTCAAATGGGTCCTAATCCGACTCTAGGGGAGATTAAAGAGCCAGAGATAGCTGTATTTAGGATTACCAAAACGAAATGAAGGAATCTAATCCTCCACCTCTCTCTTCCCCCCCTTCTCTCGCCGCCCCCCCCCCGCACATGTATTTTCTAGTTTTAGTCATGATTTCTCTCTGTCTTTCTCTCTCAGACCTCATGTTACCTTTGGGTGTTTTTAAATAAACGACATGAAATACGTGGAAGGAAGGGAGACGCGGCTAGACGGATCTCGAATGGCGCTTATGCTTATGGCTTGGTGGAAATTCACTGGGTCAAGCCATGCCGGAAGGCAACTGAAGGTGATGGGTTAAGAAGGGACGGGTCGCCAGGTGCCCGTGGATCTCCGAGGGGAGATTACAGTTTCTTCGAGTTCTTTGCTACGTGGTAGAAACTGGTTAATAGCGAGCATCCAGCTGTCCGGACTACCTACTAAGGCCTAACGGAAAGATACGAGGAAAGTGGAAGCGATCGTATCTACTATTAAAAACACTTGGCGTGTAGGAAATGGTTCTGTTCTGATAGCAATTCACAGCCCTTTCCGGAGATGCTAGGCCAAATAAATTAAAATAAAATGGAATTAATATTAGGGGCTTGCATTTTTTCTCCTTCAAACAAATGAGAAGAATATGGTACATCCAGATCGAATGGTTTTTTTTTTTTATGGTGTGGGGGACAGAAGTGTGCAGTGTCAGAGACCAAGTTGGGTGTGTGTGTTGGGCAGGAAATAGTTGGAATATTGTTGAAAAATTCTGCCTGGAGATTAGAACTCCTTTTTGGCTGTCAATAATCTCCTCGTGGAATCAGTAGCGAAGCCTCCCATGAATTCTACGGTTTCTGGATCTGCAGCAGTGGTGTAGTGGAACATTTCATTTTAGAGCAGGGGCTGTGACGTAATCTCCGGGAGCGATTGCTTCTCTCTTGTAGTGATGATGTCATCTCTTGAGATGATGATGCCGTCTCCCCGGGCAATTTTCAGCGCCCCTAGAAGCTAAGCCCAGGAAGAGGCTGGTTACATTGGCGTAGCTGCGGGTTAAAGGTTAAACTGCCCCTTTTAATTGGAAACATCCCAAAAAAGAAAGAAGAAGTCCTTTTTATTATGACCAAGCTTTTGAGTCCTCCAGAGCTCCTCATTAGGCTGTGTTAAACCAAGTGGGAGTGAGATTAAAACCTGACTTGGTCTTGATACCACACTGTCTGAACTGGTCAAAGTTGGTATCGGTTTGTCTAGGGCGCGGCTATGGGGACTTTACTGTGGGGACACGAAAAGCGCCTGCACTTCAGAATTTGCCGCTGGCTGTGAGCTGCCCCACTTTAAATTCCAAGCCAGCTCCATTGCTTATAGTTCCTAGTTGCAGTGCAACTCAGCCTACGCGACCGGTGGTGGGGATTTGAACGAGTTTCCCGTCCCCTTATTCCGAGGCAGCTCCTATAGCTCAATGCCTGCTGCAACCAGCGAGGCATTTCTCCGGACAGGGCCGCGCTAGGGGGCGGGAGAAGAGCGCTCGGAGTCCAAGGTGTTCTTTGTGATTTCGTCACAAGGGATATTAGCATATCAATAGGGGAGAGGGAGAACTACGGGCGGGGGAGTGAGTGGACGCCTTGGCCCTCCCTCTTCCCTTCCTTAGCTCTGCCGTGGATCTCCAAGCCATCCAATCCTAGGCTGGGCTGAAAGTGCAAAGAAAGGCAACGTGTGTGGACCACCAGCTCCATCCCTTTGTCTCCCCATCCCTTTTGGCGGACAGAAACCATAAGCACCCCCGGTCTCTTCCCGCACTCGGGTCCTCAAGGCACCCTTAGACACCCCAATCCCCACTGCACACATTAAAGCACACCCACCCAGAGAATGGTAGGAACTGTAGTTTCTTAAGGGTGCTGGGAATGGTAGATCTCCCAGGAGCAAACTACAGTTCCCAATTTGGGAGGGAGGATGTGCGTTTCAGTTCTCCCTTGGCGGCTTTAGGAAAGCCTCGGGTTTTCGCCTGTAAAATGGGAACAAGGCTGATAGACCTTACTGAGCGGCTGAAAAACACTCAACACCCAAGGAGCTTCTCAGGCGACGGGGTGGGCAGAAAGAAACGTTCACATTGCTTAATTTCCTTCACTTCGCTTTTCCTGTGTCTGGGAAGTTTGGAAGATCATTAATGACCCCATCTCGAGGATTGGAAGTAGCAGCAGCGGCAGTGATATTATTTCGAGTAATTTGATCAATACTCGGGCAACGCTCGTGGGCCGAAGTCGAAGCGCTTTTGAGATCAGTTCGATTTGATGGGAGAGTGAAGCTCGTGTCCGCCTCCCCTTGAAATCCATTGGACTGAAATGTGCTGGCCTTTGGTGCGATTTCCCTGAACTCCCCACACTTTTGCGATCCTCTACACGCTTAACACCCCTTGGACTCAAAAGGTCTCACTTCTGAGGTGACACGTCTAGCATTGCACGGCCAGTGTTTGTTGTCGTTCTCAGACGTCACCAAACTGGCTTTTCCTCTCTCGCTCTCTTCTCCTCTCCCTGACTCGACCTTGTCGGCTTCTCCCTCGCGATCGCTTTTCTCTCCGCCTACCTTCAGTCTCCCGCCTTGGTCCCAGATCCACGCCAAACGGATGTAAACGTTATGGCAGTGGGGGTGGGGGTGGGATAAACTGAAAAAGGAGAAATTGCTGTTGAGTGATACAGCTGTTACGAAATCTCACACAAATAAACGGCGCGCCCTGCCTTTTCCAACCACTTTCAAAGAGAAAAGAAGGGGGGGGGGAGGAAGGGAAGAAAGATCTGAACTCGAGGATTTAAAACCCAGCCTGGAGTCGCTCACAAACGGATGCTCAGTCTGAGTGGACGCGTGTTTCTGTGCTCAATACAATAATGCCGCGCTCGCCTCTAGCTACCGAGCTGGAGGCGAAGCGCCACTTAGGTTGCAATCTAGGCAGCGAGTCCCATTGAACTGAATGGGGCTTGCTTCTAACAGGAAACGTATCAGCTTCCATAAAAGCAGGTCCGAATCTAGGCACGTGGTTTGAACCTGCTGGGTCAACCAAGGGAGAGTTTCGGAAGGCTGCCCTATGAACTGGGAGTAAACTGATTGAAATCAACGGGACTTACTGCGGAGTAAATAAGAGAGCGGAGCAGGTGGTCGTTGTTGCTTTAACTGCCTGCCGCGGAATAACAGTTTGCTTTTCTTTCTTTTTTTTAGTGGACACGAAATGAGAAGTCAGGTTTTGCCTTGCCAGATTAAAAAAAACCCGAATGAGTGAGTAAAGTTTACGATTAAAATAATGGTCTCTAGTGGTCTCTCTCCCCTGTGTTCTTCAAAACGCACGTGCGCGCACCAGCTAGGCAAAGTAAACTCTTGTTCCAAGTTGCTAGTGCTGTCGATGGAAATGAGGTGGTCAAGAAGAAACAGTGGCGAAGGCCTCGGCTTTGCCTCCCTCCCAATGAAGCATTAGAGAGGCCCTTTTGTGGCTGCAGCAGCGGCAGCGCACCATTTTGACCTGGAAAGCCACAACAACATCCTGCTTTGCTTGAGCTGAATTCAAAAAGCCTGAGGGATGTAAACGCGGGGTAGGAGGGTAGGAGGCGCGGGAATCACCCATTCTGAATCTGTTTCTAGAAAATCCAGGCTAACAGCCATCGCAGAAAGGGGGAGGGGGGGAGAGGCGGACAAAAAGAAAAGTCCAGGGCTGCTGCAAAAAATCCCTTTCTGACCGGGATGTGAAAAGGGGCTTTACATTCTGTGTGAAATCTCCGTTGTTGTTTGGCAAACAATGGGCGACTGGAAGGCTGAGGGAATGAATAGGCAATCCGCAGGATGCGTGCGGGTCAGTGCTTGGGGTCTCCGTCCTAAAGCCCTCTTTCTCAGCTTGCCACAATAAAGTAGCATGAGGTTTTAAGGCTTTGCTGGGTCACCGGCCATCTCCTATTATTCTACACTTCACAACAACAACACACACACACAATCCAGCCCCCCCCCCCGTTAATCAGCACTGACCAGAGGCCCTTTGGAACAAGAGGAGCAGAGTTGAAGAAAGACTCTCTCTCTCTCTCTCTCTCTCTCTCTCTCTCTCTCTCTCACACACACACACACACACACACACACCACCCTCAACAGGCCCTCCTGAAAGCAAGATCTCCTATTGGCACTTTGGACCAAAGTTTTCCACCCCCCTTTCCTTTTATCATAACAAAGCTTCCAACTCAGACCACAAGAGAACTGGACTTTTCTCCCCCTGTTTCTGGCCTTCTCATTCTTTCTCTCTCTTTCCTTGGCTCTGAAGATGATGGAGACTTTGTTGCAAGTAAGGATGCCTTTAGGTCAAATGGCCCAGGCCTAGCTGGGAGCTGAGATTGATCCTGGAAGGGAAAGCTGCTTCCTGAGCATCTACTTTGGTGAGGGAGTTAAAAGTGGAAAGGGGTTTGGGTGTGTGGGTGTGTGCAACTGGGCCATGTGCTTTAGAGCTGATGGATTAGATGTCATTCCTGAAGTTGTCTGAGGATTTCTTTCATAGTGTAGTGTATTGACTCTGGCAGGAGTTTGTGTTGCCTAGTACTGTCCAGTGTAGAATGCTTGCTACTAACTAGAAGGGACTATTTTGTACATTAAAAGGGTGGGGAAATTATTTCTTTACAAGTAGAGATGGCAAAAGACCTTCCCAACTCTACAGTGTTATGATTCTATGATACGTGATTATGATTCATGCTTTAAAGTATAAATGACTGTTTCTTTGTTTGGGTATTTTTTAAAAGTTCAAATTTATTTTAAGGTGAAGGATTTATTGAATTGCCCAGAAAGCAAGTCTCTATATAATCTGCAATGTATGGGTATAATAACTTGTTGATGCCTATATATCAAACCCATGAGAGGTCCCCCCCTTTAAAACAATAAATTTGGTACTACTGTTTCTCCCTCCTAAATGCAATTCATGAGAGGTTAGTCCCACTGAATTTACCTCCAAGGGCATTACTAAGGCTGCAGTCCTATGCACACTTATTTGGGAGTAAGCACCATTCAACAAAGTGGGACTTGCCTCTGAGCAAACAGAGCTAGGACTGAGTTGTAAAGGAGCAATCATGTGCACACTTGGGACTAAGCTCCAGTGAAGTCAGTGGGGCTTACACCCAAGTAAGCATGCACAGAATTCCACAGCACATTTAATTTGATTGGAAGCAAGATAGCTTCTTCTTCTTTTCTTTTTGGAAAAAAAGGAAATAGATAGTTTTCTCTGCCAGACTAAACTGCCCAGGCTTTGCAGTTGTTGTTAAAGGGCAGAGCCTTATATGTACCTGAGTGGAAGAAAGCAATTTGTACCTGTGAAGAGATTGTACAAATTGAATCCCTTGTGTATCTTAGGGTGGGGTAACTTATGCTGTTCAAATGATTTATTCTGGGGTGGGAGAACTTGCTTTCTTAAAAGGAGTCTTTTCGATTTACAAAATGGTGGAGGATCCTTTTTAGTAAATAATTCCTAAAAAGGAAAAAAAAAGATGTTTGAATCAGGGTGGTATCGCTAAACAGGTAAAAGCACTCAGATAAACTTGAAATAAAGTATCTGCACAATTATCTAGATGGGATTCTTTGTGGTATGCATATTCAGGGGGTTTTTTTGGACTGCAGGGGCCCACACTCAGGGCTTTACTGATGAAGACAAGGAAGATCTTTTATGACACCACCTAAGGATTTCCCCTCATTCACACTGGGAACCCCAAGACTTGCACCATTTATGAGATATTCACATCCCTGCTTACAGTAGTAACATTGTCTGTCTCCTCTTTTTTGTCCTCTCAGGATTGTGTTCCTCAGATTTTGCAGAAGTTGACATTTCAGTAAAGGAGTAATCAAGTGTTATCTAAATTATTTAGAGCCTGGGATTAAAGGCCTTAATGCTGAGTGCTGACAAGCTTTCAAATGTAGTCTGGGGAGGGGAAAAGTTTTGTATTCTCTCCTCTCTGTATAGACTTTGAAAATAATTTCGATATGTACTGTGAATTGTTTTTATTTTTTAGAATTTATGCACAGGGAGGATGAATAATTCTTTTACAAGTCATTCTCCAAATGAATTAATAAGACCCTCCAAAATACAACCCAAGCCTATTACACCCAGGATTGTGGCATCTGTAATGCCATTCTTTTAGAAGATCAGTTGCTTTCATAGGTACTTGTTTTTAAAAAGAGCCCTATTGTTTTGAAACTCTTTGTTGGTTTGGTACACAGAGTGTGCATTAATTCAGTAAATCTTCATATTTTCCCTGTTAATCTTCTGCATTTGGAAGCTTTGATCCAGCATTCCTTGTCTTCCCAAACTCCCACTGACTTCCTTCTCATGTGTACCACAGAATAACTGTGACAGTTAATCACAACATTTAACCTTCTCATTTAATGTTGATAAATGTCAAATTCTACTCCAGCATATGGCTTCGGTTGGGTGATTTGAATATATGTTTATTTAACTTAGATTTTCTTCTTTTCTTCTTTTTCCTCCTTTTTTTGTAAAGGCAAGTTACCATATCAGTAAATTCTACTATAATGGTATACACAATTTCCCGTTCATTCTCATATGTTGTAGTACAGGGAACAGATTGCAGTATATTTAAATGGGGGGTAGCCTGGTGTGAATTTAATGCATGGTACCAGAATGAGATTCTCTTTGACATACCATTTAGAGCTAATATTATCTTAGATAATGGGCAACTTTCCCCTGGTTTGCTGACAGAGAAAAGGAAAATGTCAAGGTTAGGTTTTGCAAAGTGTTATATTTGAATAACATTCACATGTTCTCCTAAATTAGTAAGATTGCCCCCCCTTACTTGTATTAATATGCCATTTTATAAGGTCAAATTCTACCACATTTTCTCATGCTGTGGAGTACGGTATTCTATCATTGGCCTCATCAACTTTAAAGTGTAGACTCTTGATGCTGGGAGGAATGGCTATACTTGTCCCATAGGGATGTATGGGAGTGCTTGTAGCAGAAAGGGAGAAAGGCTCCTCGTATATTACAATATCCTTACACAATTCTCTAGTGACATAAATTACCCATTTCTGATTCATAGAAAGTGTCATTAATCAAGTAGCATTGGAATAAAGATGCGCACAAAGTCATGATTAGGTGATTCTACCAAGTGTTGAAAATGTTGAATTTAGATGTTAACCATCTGAATGTGTTTTATATATTTTTTTATAAGGCATGAAATGGTGGGGAAACTGGTGGACAGTAGGAATATGCCGTTTACAGTAGAATCCTACACATATCTGCTCAGAAGTGTCTCACAGAGTTACTCATTTGTACTCATTGTGCTGTTTGTGAATGACTTTAATAGATTTCATGGAGATGGCAGGGATCAAGCCTGCATTAAAAAATATGTGCTCTACCACTCAGCTAAGGTCCTTCCTCTAGTATAAAAGTTGTGTAAAGGTATCATCCTAGAAAACACATTATTTGTTCTCAATGGGACTGCAGAGTAGATGTGTATAGAGTTGTGCTATCAGTGGATTAATTGGTTAGACTGCCGTGCATCCCATACATGTCTACTCAGAAGTCATAGAATCATAAAACTATAGGGTCATCTAGTCTCACCCCTGCAATGCAGGAATCTTTTACCCAACATGGGGCTGAAATCTACCACCCTGGGGTTAAGGGTCTGATGCTCTACTGACTGAGCTATCCAGCTCTACATCAGTCTCATAGAGCTTAATAAGGCTTACTCCCAGGTTAGTGGGAGTTAGAACGCCTGAATCAGTTAAAATACTTTGACGGGTTAAAAAAAGATGCCTCCTATTGCAAAGGCAACAGATTTCCTAAAATGCTGTTTTTGTTTAATCTATTTAACCTGGTAAGCTGCTTTAAAACAAGTCAGGCTATTTGTTCAGCTGGTCCAATTTCATCTGCTCTGACTGGCAGCTTCCCATTATAAATATAACTTATATTTAAAATCAAACCCCACCCAGTGTTTTGGAGAATCTATTGCCTGATTATTTTTTGGGGGGGGCACCTTTTAATCCATCAGAGTATTTCAATTGATTCTAGGAGAGGTCTTGCCCACTATCCTTTTGAAATGGAGATGCAAAGGATTAAAACCAGGACCTCCTGCATGCAAAGTGCTCTATCACTGAGCAGTGGTAGTTCTCCCTACTAGTATGAAAACCGTGGGGCAGGTGTCGTCCAAGAAAAGGCATTCTTTCTTTCCCACATAGGTGAGGATTCTAGAGGGTGCCTGCTGTGACATGTGCATTTGTCATATAAAAGCACAGAATGCCCTTCCCCCCTTTCTGAAACTATTGTTTTTGTTTGTATGTAAATTTAAGCAAGTGATCGACTAGCAGCACAGTCCTAAGCAAAGCCCATTTGGATCAATGGGGGAAATGTGCTGCCTTTGATTCATTGGTTAAGAGCGGTTCCCTCGCTGCGAGAAGCCAAGTTACAGGGAACCAGGCAGAGGGCCTTCTTGGTAGTGGCACCTGCCCTGTGGAACGCCCTCCCACCAGATGTCAAAGAGAAAAACAACTACCAAACTTTTAGAAGACATCTGAAGGCAGCCCTGTTTAGGGAAGCTTTTAATGTTTAATAGGTTATTGTATTTTGGTGTTTTGTTGGAAGCCACCCAGAGTGGCTGGGGAAACCCAGCCAGATGGGTGGGGTATAAATAAATTATTATTATTATTACTACTATTACTATTATTATTATTATTATTATTATTATTATTATTATTTAGATGACCATTCCAGTGGCTAGACTAGTGCTCCCCTTCAAACAACAAACATCCAAAAGTATAAGAGAAGCTTGACATTTAAATGATCAATTTCCGAAGTTTATTTTGATATAGAACATTCATAGGACTGTGTATTTAGAAGGAACCCTGGCGATCATCTAGCCCAACCCCTGGCAATGCAGGAATATGCAGCTATCCCATTCAGGGATTGAGCCTGCAACTTTGTGTTATTATGCTTTTTTTGGCATACAACTGTCCCCAGTTTTCCATATTAAAACACTGGGATTATTTATGTTGTATAGGCTTTTTAATTTTTGTTGTTGTTTAGTCGTTTAGTCGTGTCTGACTCTTCGTGACCCCATGGACCAGAGCACACCAGGCACTCCTGTCTTCCACTGCCTCCCGCAGTTTGGCCAGACTCATGTTTGTAGCTTCGAGAACACTATCCAACCATCTCGTCCTCTGTCGTCCCCTTCTCCTTGTGCCCTCCATCTTTCCCAACATCAGGGTCTTTTCCAGGGAGTCTTCTCTTCTCATGAGGTGGCCAAAGTATTGGAGCCTCAGCTTCAGGATCTGTCCTTCCAGTGAGCACTCAGGGCTGATTTCCTTCAGAATGGATAGGCTTGGTCTTCTTGCAGTCCATGGGACTCTCAAGAGTCTCCTCCAGCACCTTAATTCAAAA